CTGCTTCTGCGATTAACCGGTCGCATTTCTCAGCTAGGATAAGCAAGCACTTAACGAGGGTGATGGTGGAACACGCAGTACAGAACCAAAATGCATCTTGGGAGCTATTTCGCTCCCGTAACTGTTGTTGGGACACATTTGCACATTTCGTATGGTACCATTCCAAACAGTGCGAACAAGCTATACCGATTTTTACTACCCGATGACATTCTCCTAACCCGCAAATGCCTTTCGATGGGAGTCTCTTCGGTTTCGCCTTTCTGCCATTCAATTTGGTGTCACTACCTGACCCAGTGGGTTGGTTAGCGTTCCGTACTTTTACAACTTTGAGAGCGGCGCACATCGGTCAGGCGAGCGTGGTAGTTGCAAGGTCAAATGAGCGGTCAGCGTGGTCGCGCGGTCCGTGTGATGGGTAATGCAGCCGCACTGGCTGACAAGGTCACAAGGAATGGCGAGTGACTGCAACCTGAACAGAGCGCTGGACACAGATTCTTTGACAGTTGTGTTGAGAAACACTGGATCGGAGTAAGCTTAGGCTTTTCGGCCTGCCTCGAGAATTCTGTATCGAATGGTGTCACACAGAATGGCAATCGACTCAATACAATTGAATTAAACGCTTGCGCTTAATCACAGATGCCAGTGAAAACGCTTAGTGATGGCACAGTCCCTAATCGTAGAAGATATTTCCACGTATGATGGATCACTGTGTAGAGCTGGTAAATCCGGTTCGAATGCGGGTACAGTGACAACGCTGCGAGAAGATGGAGAGAGGATAGAGGGGAATAATCTAAATGAACCAGTAGCACGCACGTCACGCGTGTGTGAGGATGACCTTGACCTTGAAGAACGATAGACACAGTGCCTGTGTTCTCCATAGCAAATACATTTTCAGAGGAATGTAATTGCTGACTAGAAACGGAATCTGTATGATGCAAATTGGAAATACGTACTGAAAGACAACAACGAACAAAATGTCCACGCTTTCATCACTTTTTGCAATTCCCTTCTAAGGCAGGGCACTTGGTAAAGTTGGCTTTATGCTGTAGGCTACGGCAGCGGAAGCATTTCTGTGGGGATTGCAATTCGGTTGGCGAGCGATGGATCTTGGCAAGTTCCTGTAGGTCTGCGTTGGTAGCGGAACATCGCAACTGTTCGTCCGTACATATTTTCAGGTAAACTAATTCCACAGCCTTATCGTCTTCAAAAAGTAGACGTTTGCCGAATTCGGTTATTGGTCATTCCACTAATCAACTGCTGCACTAGCATTACACCCTCGATTATATTTTCGGTATGGTTGGATACTCGCAAGATCTTACACCACGAATGAGGCGATTAACAAAACTGCCTAGCCTTTCTGATGGTTCCTGTGTAAGTCGGCCGAATTTGAGGCTAGCCATGGAGAGATTTGTTTGCTGGCTCCATAACTTATCCACTACATCTAGTGCTTTCACTAAAGTTTCTTGAGACTGGAGCTCCAAAGCATCAAATTAACGTTGTCCTTCATAACCGAGTAGGTGTCTGAGTAGTTTCAGCTTCTGGCCTTCAGTGTAGTTGGAAACCGCAGATAATAGGTCAATCTAGTTTGTAAACGTGATTTTCCACTGGGCCCATTCACTTTGGTAGGATGTAAGGTCGGATCAGACCAGTAAAATGTAGGAGGATGTAATTCCATAGCGTAGGTTCGTACACCGCGATGCCAGTGTTGTGTACGAAAGGTCAAATGCACGAGCTGTAGTAAGCAGGTCACTCCGGTAATCGAACTGCTGTGATCTGATAAATGTCTAACTGGGTGAGTACATTAAGCCGACGCAAGGAGCAGGGCGAACCAATAGGGAAGCAGAGAATTAGACGCTTTGTGTGCGTGTGTGTCTAGGGTTGTGTGCACGTGTCTGTTTAGACTAGCCGTCAAGCATGTTGGCAGAATACACAACACCGTCAACTCATAGAAACTATTTTCAACGCTTTTGATTGAATTCCGCCTGTACCAGGCGAGCTGCTCCTGCGCAAGAACATTAGTCTCTTTTTTTAAAGGATATGTGATTAAGCCCTAATTAATGTGTGACCCGCGTAGGAAGTATGTAGAATGATGATACTCTTTGGAACATACGGTCGAATAGTTTTCCGAGAAACTTGGTTGCCACTTGTGTCGGCTGCGCAAACCCACCTACTGCATGCAGATCAAGAATTCCGTGCATGACTCTACGAAGTTTTTTCACCTGTCTGTTAAGTAGCGTGGGTTAAAGCATGATCTTATCTGTAGGTCCTGTTGATACATTACCCTCTCCTCTCGGACGAGTTGGACACAATGATTATTTTGTGTTGGATAGGTATCCTAAGTGTTCGCGCTCTGACAGTCCACGTTGACAAGCCAGGGCGAGTCGCTCAATAGCAAGCATATACGAGTCCTGCTCCTTAGGAAGTACTTGATATTTATTGCGTGGTGGACACGGGTTACTTATGTGCTTACTGTCACCCCGTTGAATCTGCCGATAAACTCCCCAAGGCCACCTCAGTTGAGCATTAGAATGGGAAGGACCAATAGATTCCGAATGATAAAGTAACGGACGGCGCACCACCCTGCATTTTTCATCCGGTACAAAATTCCACGGAATGTACAGGTGGCGATGCAGGACCTAGTATGGAATGACTACGTTTACAAGCAAACTTATAAAATTCGTCTGCATGGGTGATTGTGAAAATTGAACGACAAGTAGTTTTCATCTGAATTTCACATGGTCTGAAAGGAATGACTCAACGTCTGTGCATTTAGTGTCCAAATGATATAATGCCGGAAAAATGTGCGAGAGACAGTAGTCGAGGCTAAATGGGTGCGAAACATCGAGCATTTCATGGACATGATTTCGCCGGAGTCTACGTTAAAAACACAAATTGCGCTTGTATATGATATTGTACAGCTATTACGTGTTGTAAATGCACCGGAGTCATTGATATTAGCTTCTTTTCATACCCCTCAAACTTCTATGGAGCTACACGGATTTATTTATTTGCCTTATATCCCCGATATTCAGTATTTGGAGGCAAATATGCACAATGTGCTCTAAAGAGAAAGCCATTTGAATGGTAAATAAAGTGAAACTACTTCTGTGCACAATAAAAGGAATGTGTCGAGGGGAATCACCACTGCCTACAGTATACTGTTCTTAATCACACATTCATAGCAATCACTCCTCCCAGTAATCTCATCTTATGAGACGTTAGTCTGTTTAGTGAACTCGTCCTGCCAATGTTCCAGCGTAAGTACCTAGTGATGACGGAGATGTAAACCTTAGTGCTAACTACAATAAAGTTAGATACACCAAAATTGTTCACGACTTAGACGTGTTCGAACGGCTCTCGTTCCTATACAACATTCCTCTATCCGTAAAAGCCCGTTGATAAGTCGGTATGTTAACCCATTCATTCTGAAAAGTTTACAATGCAGTGAACAATTTTCATGGTACACCCACCAAACGGCGCACAGTCTGGAACAACGAAATCACAATTATCTGCTACCAACCCGCAGGATCATAATGGTTACTTCACTGCTTATTATGGTCCTTGCAACCAATAATTTTAACTGATAGAATATTGCACTAGTTTGTGTCAAAGGCTAACGGCCTCCATAAAATTGTTTATGCGGATGTCTGAGAACAACAAAAACTATGCCAGTAAGAATGAGCATATATATGTGGGCCAAGTGTAATTTTCGTTTGAAAGGTGATATCGAAGGAGCTGGATGTATTTTCCCAGGAAGACAAATGTTTTGTAGTTGAATAAAGGGAATAACGGGTGTACTTCGATTCTTTGCTGCCTATACTATGAGAGCAATGCGCGTGTGCTAGAGCAGACTTTGTTTGATGACAAGCACAACTAAAACATTGTCAGCCACATAACACAAATAGAGTAGGCGGTCAAGTTTAGCTGACGATCTTTGGTTCTAAACCATTGGCGGACTTTTAAAAGATGGAGACAAATGTTGCTGGAATGTTAATGAATCACGTAGGCCAAACTGAGATCGCATTTAATACATTGAAACCATCTTCTCCCTAACACCTTTAGCTAAGTTCGACACTTGAAAGGAATGAAGGCCTTGCCCCTTAGTCAACCTTCACTGCGAGCTAACGAATGCATCGAGGTTGTGCTTCTGCCAACTGTGTAGTTTCTGAACGGCTTACTTTATACGGGCATCTCGATAACAATAAGCATTTGCAGAAAGGTGTTGCGGTAACACCTGCCGATTAATTTACTTACGATTTAGACATGGTGGCTCCCGACGTTTGGCACCTCCGTTCTATTCGAGCCGCATTTATAATCTCGGACCATTGTCACATTACCAGTCCTAAAAGCCGCTGCAACACATGTGCACGTAAAAACATAGGACGATGGAGATTATGTGCTCAAGTTTTGTTGAACTGCAAATCAAGCAGGCTACTCACCATCCATGGACACCAGAGTTCCGGATTCCTCTGCATTAATGTATGAGCTCCCGGCACAGGCAAAGTGTTTTTTGACAAGTAATAGTGAATATATAGCGCATTATCTGCTAAATGCATAAATTTCACTTGCAGACCTCGGATAAGGTAAATGCTCCCAAACTACGTTAGAACGACATCAACAGTTTTGTATTTTGAAGTCTATGAAGAATGGATGGATGATGAAAGGGAAGTAACTGGATTTGATAAATCTACCCGAGGAATAGACGTTTTGGTCCAATTTTCCCATACCATCCGTGAGGTGGTAGTGTATATTCGGTGTGTCCTGATTAAGTGGGGGTGACACAAGGTGGCGGCAATACAACTATACAGTCAGTAATGATCCTAGCTTTATAACTCAGGTAATATTCTACGCTTCAAGGCAAAGAGAAATATATCCTAGAGAATAAGTTGCACCCACTCGGATGCTCGTGTCGCAGTGAGGTAGCCCTTTGCTGCAGTTACCTGACATTGGTCACCATTACTGAAAAGTTACTTTTCCTATCCTATTTTTACATTTCCCTTTAGTTTGATGTGCTGTCCATTCTGCCACTAGACGTATTTTCCGTTTTCTACGGGCGAGAAATGGCACGATTCCGTCTTCTGCGCTTGCTTAAGGTGAGACGTTTACTACAGTGACTGGGTACTTGATTCATGTAAGGTGGTTATTTACTATCGCGGTCATCACGACTTTACTTTGCAACGTTGGCATACGCATCCGCCATAGTTGCAAAAAGGCAGTAATGCTAATGTGAAAGCTGTAACGTTGCTTACTAACATAGCCCCTGATTACCTCAAAATAATAACTAAGGACTCCTGTAGTCGGCCACGGTACTACCGGAATTACATATTTAGGAGCGCAAGAAATGGAAAGGCAATTCATGGATGGTGATTGTTCGATTGGTTGCATCTCAGGAAATCGGTGCCTGTGGGATTGTTTTGCTGCATTCGTTGCGAAGTTAAGAAGTAACTTGTATAACACATAACCCAGTAACACACTTACTCTAATAAGGCAATATGCGTCGTCTTCAGCCACTGCCGATATCACAAAATTTCACCTTAAAAACGCAAGTATCATATATAAAAGACCCCTTATAGGTTGGGGGTGCCTTAATGCTGCATGCAAGCCCAACTTTCTAAATTTATTTTGATATTTATGGAGCATTTAAAGGACAGCGTAAAATCGAAAGTTTCGGAGAGTTATAACAAATGCTAATAGTTTGAATATTACCCTTACGGATCAACCAGCATCCAGCATGGCGGAGCTGTCGTCACCTCTGGTGCAGTATCCTTATTACTTGACTCATGGAAAATGTGTCATGGCTGCAAGTCGCAACTTCGGGCAGGTAGCGTGCACAACGCTGACTTTCCCCAAAAGGATGTACAGGAGAAGATGAATGCCGGGGATTGAACTTGCAGTCATCATTATTAGGAATACAATAAAAGATATAAAGACCGCTACACGCTAAAGAAGCAGGCGCTCACATCGTACTGGTAGGAAGACCACATCGTACGGAAGTCTAACAAAATATGTGTGGTCTTATTCAAACTAGCCAAATATATGTACAACGTCTTTATGTCAAGCGCGCTGTGCAAAGAGTACTAGTGAATACTCGCTGGTTGTCGACAAAAGACCTCACGTTCAAAATTGACATCAGTTCACATGTAGCTATAGTTAGGAAATGAATTGGTTCCTGTCAGTCATAAGGGTCCAACAGTGAACAGTAGGTTGACTGAAAATGGACTAGTTAATCTGTAAGGCGCTGAGGTTCAGACTGGTTTATAGGAGAAACTATTAAATATAGCTTTTCATGGATGTTTAGAGTGATGTTACTGATGTGCACTGGCTTCCTGAATGGTTTCGACTTTTAGCCTTAGTAAATATTATTTTGCTTGCGAAATTTAGACTGAGCCTGACAAAATAAATATCCAAGTACAAGAGTTTACGACTTCATTAACAGAATTAAATTAAAATAAATTTGCAATATCTCGGGGTGCTACTCGCGTGGTTACACATGAAGCTGACAGTTGTCTATCATACTTTCTGCAGGCAGGTACGGCATCGAGAACACAAGGGTGTGACCAGCACAACGTACTGTGTCGGTAACAGGAAATTATAAGTGTCCTTTCGGTTTACACATAAACCCATTCCCTGCCAACCAAAGCAGTACTAACAAATGGTGCAAGTGTTCAAAAGGTTGCGTTCATCTAAACAGAGATTGCTGTTATCTCAAACTTGACCAACTTGATTGGGCAAAACCCTATCATATTGGGGTGCATGTAAACGATAAAAGCAACTAAAGTTTATTATCTGGCAGTATGACACAAGGACCAAAGCCGCCAAAAATATTATTTCCGCCCGAAAATTAACACAAGACTATTTCCTTCAAGGTAATCTTCCTAGAGTAGCATGCCGGTACTACACATGCTCTGCCACATTTGTATGCGTTTCTGGAATGATTCTTCTGGGATCCTCCGCTGCTGCGTCGTCATTGCATATTTGACGTCGTCCACGTATTTAAAAAGGTGTCTCCTTGATGAACCCCTTGGACCTGGATAAAAGGAAAATATTACAGGGAGTCAGGTCAGATAAGGATGTAGCTCTGACATGGCGATGTACTTCTCGTCCCGGAACTATTATATGCACGAGGTGTAAAGAGTATACGTCTTGTCATGTTGAAGCTGTCACGAGCTGTACTACCAAAACTACCGCCTCTTCTCATGTACTATACGAAGCAAGAGCTGCCGTATTTCCTCGTCGTTATGATGGTGGATCGTCTGCCATTGTGACAAGAACTCGCGATGGACGATTCCTTTCACTTGGAGGGATGTGATCAAAATATTCACAGTGGCTTTGAACTGTGGTGCTTTCTTTGGCCTTGGCAATATCGTACTCTTCCATTGAATGCTTTGGCGTTTGGTATCCGGATCGTGTTCGATGATTCATGATCCAGCACCGGTGATAGCTCACGCTAGCAAATCTGGTGGAGTTTCGAGACGATCGACTATACCCTGACAACCTTCCAAGCGCTCACCTTTCTAGTTATCGTTCAGCTCTTTGCTCATTGTTTAACAGTCTGAAGCCGCGTTGATGTATATGCAATAACAAAACAAAAGTTGAGTGGCTGTAACAAGCTAATAGTGTTCACTAGCGTATGATGGAATATAAAGTATAAGGTTACAAGACCCACAGGATGGAAAATGCACAATAAAATTAAAGTCAAAATTGTTCCAACCTGGAACTGGATCATCAGTAATAAAGACCTCGTACTTTATCACATTAGAATAGGACGTAGCAAACAAGCATGTTTTCCGTGGATCATCATCAGACTAGTACAACCACAACTATGTAGGTCCACTGAACACGTGAATTACAAGCGCCAATAAATCAAATATCGCATCAATAAAGCCATGTGATTAGCCCGACCTGTGTGGAGTCGGGTGGAATGGCATGATAGGTCTGCTTACTTGTGTTAGGCTGGGGCCAGGGCAGACACAGCGTCTGCACCAAATTTTTCTGTGCACACAACTCCGGGTTATGGAACCGAATTGCGATTTCCCTTGCTGTCAATAGCGGACGGCATCTGACAATTCTGGTGTGGCGTCCTGGCACACGGTAGATCGATTGGAATGAATCTTTTGAGTTTATTTTGTGTTTGGTTGTGGATACCAACCGTTCCATCGGCCTGTTTTTACTGCTGTTTGTCATTAATGGTGTTTGCCTTTCCCTAGACTGGGTAGCACTGTTGCTAGAGAGCATTCGCTTTTTAACGGGTCTCGGGTTTGGGCTACGTACTACATTAATCTATAACTCAAGTACTGAGATTTTCCCTCCCAACACCGCGATCAGTTCCTTTTGCTCTGATGATGTATCAGTCAACCTTTCACACCATTATCGTAAGCATTTGAACAACCTTAATTATGGGACTATCTGAACATAAGTCACAGAACTACAAGCTATCTGTCGATACGCTGTTACCTCCGTTACGTTTAATGATCACATTTGTTGCGTCCTAAGAATGGGCACAGAAGGAACAGATGGTTTTAAATGTGCTCTCTGTTCCCCTCTTGTCTGAGCTACGGTTGACTTTGGATCCCCGGCCGACAAACTCCTCGGGCCCATGGGCTCAGTGGTACGTATGCACATTTAGATTGAGCTGGTCACTCCGTTTGGGATGCCTCAGTTATGTGCTCTGGTCAGCGCGTTTGGTAATGATGCGTCACTAGACGCACAGGTAGCCAAAATCACACAGGCTTTGCGCAGTGAAATGTACCTAACAATACCGTGGTAAGGTGAGACGACACAAAAGCCTGTCGCTATGGTATACAGTGATGCACATTACTAACTTATGTATTGTCTGGTAGCCTTAAAGAAGCTCTGTTGAATGATATCTCAAAAGTACTGACGAAACTCAGATAAGCAGTTACACAAGTAGTCTTTAGTGAGCAGCCTTCCAAAAACATCGCTGGTGGTGTGTCAGCTTGTCGTTGGACTTATTTGGAAAATATCAATCCCTTTGGATAGAACTCGGTGATCCGAATCGACTGAGCATATTTCCGAAGAGGTGGCAAAAGAATGTAATAGAATAAGTCCAATTTAACACAGAACACAGGATAGCACAATAAGCACGCACAAGCTGACAAGTTCTCGTTGACCAAGGTAATAGTTACGTATTCTAGTGGGGAAAACATCAGTGGAAAGTTTGGGTTCGATCTAATTCTTTTGTGACGCCGGTCCTAGAACTTTTCTATCACATCTGGTGTAACCATCAGTCATTCGGGAAAAAGTATACCACCATCACTTAAGAATTATTAGATGAAATCAGCCCCTGCATTCAACGGGACGGATAACTAGACAAGATCTTGGATGTGAGTAAGCGTAATTAAGCCCACATGTGTGACGAGGGCGAAATGGGGACATAATAATTAGTTGACCCGCATTGCATTAAACAGCACACAAAGAGGTCGGTAGTGTACCTCACTTATAGCTTACATACACAACCAAAGACTGTTCACACATCTTACAATCGCGAAAGCACTCGTTGTCCGAACAAACGCACCGCGAAGCCCAAACATACGTTTCCATAGGAACTCCAGGGTTCACCTAATGATATCGAAATCCGCAGTTTCCTGATGATTTTCCGGTAATTCCCTTGCCAAAGTTCTTAATGCTATTGTGGTTGTTAAAGACGATGTAAACTTTTGCCTGGATGCTACCCTGAATATTGACTTGTTATTTGCGTGCCGAACTCACAGCCGGGCAGCCTGTGTTCGAGTTCTGAGTACGCCACCCTTTGTATTTGCTCCCGCGTCACATATAGTGAAATTGGACCGATACGGGGGGAGTAAGATGGACGCTGTCTAGTGGTAGCATGTCGGATTGTCAGCCATGAAGCCGGGGTTTGAATCCTTGGTTCATCGCGTTTGGAGAAGTCAGTGGATGGCTGCTCATTGATTTCAGTAAAGCTTTTGATACAGTGAACCATGAAGATGTGTGGTGTTGGTGGAGAATTTCGCCGGTGGAACAGTGACTTCCATATTGAGGAGAAGATGGAGAGTACAGGTTAATGATCACCTAACGTACTGGTACCCATCCACTAGCAGTGTACCCCAAGGCACAGTACTGAGGCCACATTTATTCCTGATTCACATGAACTAAGTGCCCCAGCTTCTTCGATCGCCTTGTGCACGGTTTACAGCCGACTTAAAAATTTGGATGGTTATTGATTTTCCCGACGATTGCGAGATCCTGCAGCAAAACCTCGACAGCCTTTCCCGGTGTTCTGCAGAAGTTGACCTACCGGTCAACCCGGCCAAGTCTTCGTTAATGAGCATGGGGAGGGGTGGTAATTGGCGTGCGTACACCCTGACCGGCCGCCCGTTGTGTTCCAACGGTTCCGTAAAGAATCTAGGCGTACTGTCACGCTGTGATCTGAAGTTTGTCGACAACAGGAACAGACTGTACGTAAACGGACGACCGCTGCTTTGGCAGCTTAGACGCAGCTGCTGCATTTGGTCTGAAGAGATTGCCACCCATCTTTAGTCTTCCATGATAATACCGGTACTTGAGTACGGCTTACCCGTCTATTGTTCCACCACAGTATGTGAGAAGCAGAGAGTGTAAAGGGTCCAGCATGCAGCTCCCGGCTGATCCTTAGTTTATGGAGGTATGCCGTAAGAGGACGGATGTAAGAGACTGGGGTTGTATACCCTGAATATCGCAGTGTGGTACACCATTAGTGCTGCTACTATCCCGTAATCCAACTAGTGAACAATGCGTTGAAGCACACCTGTGACTAAGTACAAACCACTGAAAGAGCAGACAAAGGTAATCACGTAACTCTGTAGCACACATGTATGAGCATGACGTTTTCTGTACAATATGATCCGTACCAAACATGGACATAGTTGGTCACATAATGAAAAGTACATCTATAAATATTATTACCTGCAACAGTTGGATCATTAAAACTCCACGGCGCAGTACTCCTATTCCCATCTATTCTCATCTATCACGAGCCAGTAAAACGCGCATCCCGACATAAGCTGCTGCATGCCAAAGCAAATATAGATTAACATAAACCGTTGTAAAGAACATACAATCATCAATCTCAAAGCGTCATTCCTGTTACATATTAAAATAGAGGAAATCGAAGTAAGAAGAGGATAAAATTGTTCGTTCCATACAGTACTTCCAAACGCGCAACGAGAAGACGAACTTTGGCAGATGCGTGCATCATGTATCGTTTCAGCCGTGCCGATAACGATAACCGATAGTCTTATACAACATTTTATGGGTGCAGACATACCTACAAACAAAGGAGAGGAAAAGCAGTGTCTTGCTCCTACAACCAGGGCAGAATGAGGCTAACCGATAATTGTTTTGCACACAAAACACTGGCTTAATCCGACTTACTGCAATGGTCTCAGAGAACGCGAGAAGCCGGGAATTTGTATGGCGAAGCAATATCTTTAACGCTATCCAAGCGTGGCAGCCCTGGCTCAAGCACCATCTCACCGCGCTCGATACTGCACAACGTGGGGCAACGAAGATCGTCAGACGTTTGACCAGCCTCCCCTACCCACTCAGGCTGAAGACCCTCAAAATATACAGTGGATGTTATCGGCGTCTAAGGGGTGGGTGCCTGTCAGACTCTAACTACGAGGAACACACACAACTATTAAATAAATCACCGTAATACTCATAACTAATCATTAGTCGCCTAAGCGGCGTAAACGCCACGTCGATTGATGGCAGCTTACAAAGAAATTCGTTGCCCTGCGGACAACCCCTGTCCTCCGCAGTTCATAATTTTCAAGACATTGGGTGATAAGCAGCGCTATATCGCAGTTACATATCAGCCGTGGCGGTCCGCTGTCCTCACCCATGCTTAAGTGTCATACGTCTGTCTCGCAAGAGTAAGGTCGTCTTTTCGAATCTGGCAGGATTCGGCGGGTGTACGATATAGGCAAGTTCTAATAGGACGAAACGGCTGTCTAACGCTTCTCCTGGATATGTGGTGGCTGTCTGCCTGATTATAACTGTGATGAACCCTCACTGAAAACAGCTGTATCTGCCGTTACTTGGAAAAATTTATTCCTAGTGCTGCCCTTTACGAGTGACATTGCTTCTTTGAAGACTAAAGGATGTCTGATTTTGCCTCGCGACGCACTTGTGTGTCGCCGAAGTTGTAGTTATCCATTGGACGCATGAGGTGTCATTGCCTTCACTGAAGGAAACTCAGTCTCTTGGGGCCAACGCCCACTGCGTATATCAAATCGTATGTCACTGCTATTGTAGTTACATGGGAAGGACCAATAGAACACTGCGTTTCGGAATGAAGGGACATATGTCAAAATGGGTTCAATGCACTAATATGCAACAATGAAGCCCAAGTCGGACTACGTGTGTGCACAGACTGCTGGCATCTTCGATTGGCAGACACTTGTTGACCTTCGGTCACCGAATAGAGTTCAACAAGGCGTTTAAGATATTGCTTCGCCATACAAATTCCCGGCTTCTCGCGTTCTCTGAGACCATTGCAGTAAGTCGGATTAAGCCAGTGTTTTGTGTGCAAAAACAATTATCGGTTAGCCTCATTCTGCCCTGGTTGTAGGAGCAAGACACTGCTTTTCCTCTCCTTTGTTTGTAGGTATGTCTGCACCCATAAAATGTTGTATAAGACTATCGGTTATCGTTATCGGCACGGCTGAAACGATACGAGATGCATGTATCTGCCGAAATTCGTCTTCTTATTGTGCTTTGCAGAATGGCGTTACTCTTATCTTTCTTCATTTGTTGACTAGCGTTTGCAATCTTGTTCTTATATTTGTTTTTAAATTATCCAGCATGTTATAATATAGGGTACTTTCTTCTATCACGGTTCTTCTATTCTTACTCTTTTCTGTCTGGCTAGTAGGCGTAATCTAATTTTATATATCGAATTAGCATTTTTGTATACATCCATACAACACAATTCGTTTTAACGTGTTTTTGCTGTTACAAGCGTGAGGTGCTGAGGTCATGATATTTTTGTCTACTGCTGAGTATTTTAGATTCGCTACTGGAATAACACGAAGTAAGCCCGGAGCATTTGTGTTGTGCGTATCCCTGGTCTAGGTTGATTTTTTCCACAGTTCGGATTCAAACAGTAACTTTCGATGATATTGCGAGCGTACTGTCAGCTGATTTAAAGCAAGCGTAATTTATTTTCTAATGCTTTTTCACGTTAATCTGAATAATTAATACCGACATGGCAAATCGCAATAAATATGTTTAACTTGATATTCATTCCCTAACTCGTTTTAGATCAAGGCATTTTGGGACGCATTTGAAAGATTGGATCAACGCTTAAGCGCCGCCTACACAGTGCGTCTTGCCAGAACTCTCATATACATGATGTACATTATTCATGTTGAAGCATGTTGGTATTACGGACTCAACCGCATCAAAGGCATTGGTGCAACTTCATGGTCCATCCCGTTGGGGAACATTTCTCCGTGAGTATGAATATACACATTCTTGCAATGACGCCATTACTCAGCCCCTTTTCACACACAAACTTCGGGTCTAGCAACTTTATTTCTACATGGAAGTTCACAACTGCAAGAAAGGTGGACTGAAAGGCGTAATTTCCTTACGACATACCGCTAAGAAGATGCTGTACAGAGAACGGGGAAACAATTGCCAATACTCAGTAGCACATGTTGCAAATAACTGGAAATCACGCTTACCGAACTTGTTCAAACATTTAGCTACACATTTTCCTTCGAAGCTCATGAAATTCGTCGAATAGGCCGGCTACCAATCTGTTTACAGGACCAAGTTACAGAATGCTTGCACTACACCAAACATACCGGGACGCATGCAAAAATTAAGGTATTTCCTTTTCTTTCAACAATTTGAAAATCACGGAACGAACACGAATGCTGGTAGATGCCTACAGTTCGTATTGTGTCCTCAGTACTGTTAATATTAACCAATATGCACAGATATAGCTAACAGTGGGTCTAACAAAACCAGCTTGAGGTGTGAAACGAATGACAGAACTTCATCAATGTGTCCAGAGCAGCTTAAGGCTGACAAATAAATTTTTCCGTGTGCAAGGCTTATGGAGACAGCCACGGCTAACCGAAGGAAGCCGGGATTAGCGTGAGGTAACACAACTTAGAACGCTGGGCCGAGCTTAATCCGGTGACCCCAGACCAATAGCTCTTTGCCTACAGCAGTGTACGTGAGCCCGGAATATGAGGGGGCGGGAATCTGGACAACCACATTAAGTCCAGCTCGGCACCTGCTCCTTTATTCGAGAAATCAGTGTCTTTTCATTTCTGCCTAAGCAACTCTCTCCGTAGTCACACTAATTGATATACACAGTGTGAGTTGGCTCTGACAGGTTGAGTTTCCGTCGTTGGAGGTATGGGGGAATTTCGGTTCCGGATGATGACGACAACTTGTGCAGTAACTATCCTGTGTATCCGGGATTAAATTCTTAAATGTCTTCAGCATAGTTATATCACCTGTGAAAGTTAACTCGATATACACCTTCTTGGCTGCCATATGCACCAAGTCGTTCGGCCCTCACGGTTGGTAGTACTGTTTGATAAATATTCCAAGATAGCCGTTCGCCACAAGTGTTGCTGTTATTATCACTAAGTCATTGGTCAGACAGTCTGCCGAATAAATTCGTCTGGAACGATTGACTTGGGTTTTCACAAGTGTCCGCTTGTACTGCACTGGTGTGAAGCTGGTGAAGTGCAATTGCCTGCCGGACCAAGTTGATTTTCAGTAAACAGACCTCTTAATTAATCCCGCATCCTCGAGACTGATAAGGACGACCAGATATGGTGAAGAGTTATTCTGTTCTACATCGTATGTAATCCGTAAGGAAACATGCGAACCGTTAAGGTGCTCTACCAACTGTGCGAGCTGTTGCTCCGACGAATATAAGGTCAAAATATCACCAACATATTTTTTGTTGTAGGTACCCTAGATATATCCGTAGAAATGCTTTTTTCCATCAACATCAGCATGAAGTATTTAGTCAGAACAGGACCTAATAGGCTACCCACTGCTGCGCCATCAATGTGACGGTAAAGTGGGTTTCCGAAATGAAAGCCCACATGTTCCGTGCACATAGCAAGGATTCTGTCGAAAATTAAGTTTTAATTGGTAACGAACATCTAGTGTTCGGCTAATCCGCACACTGAATCAACCGTCTGATGTTGCGGGACGTTGGTGAATAAGGATTCTGCATCCAAGAAACATGTGGGTTGCAATGAGTCTTTAAGACTGTACAGATTCACCCGTTGTTTCGGCGGAGAAAGCAACTTCACTAGCCAGCGGGCTAGTTTATGCTGGGGTGCGTTCATCAGCGAAAGGATTGATCTGAGTGGCACCGCTTCCATGTGTCTTTGCTGACCCATATAGCTGTGGCATATGCTACCACTCGGCCACAACCTATTAAACATACCACAGTCTATCACATGATGAAGGAGAAAAAAGTCAGGGTGACGAACTAAGCACTTTTTCACATTGGTTTTGTCCCCCACATTCTTGAGCAGTTCGAATTTACCTGCATGTTCAAGATTTCGAAACTTTTATCTGGTTTTCTTACGACTACGTCCTTAGCTAGTAGTTCACATATTGCACAAAAATGCCTAGACGTGGCAACATACGTCTTAGTAACTGGCTGCAGAAGATTCCCGAATGCCTATTCTGTGATGCATTTAGCCGCTTTTAGGCTCTAGGCCTTGATTCCCTTCACCATTTAACCAAATCCTTTCCCTGTTCCAACCGGTCTTTACTACTGGCTCTCAATTAAGATTGTGTTCCTGTGCCAAGTTAATTACGTTTATTTGAAATTTGTGAGTGCAGATGACCTGGATTCGATCGTACATACTTTGACCTACTTTTTATAAGTTCTTAACAGACTTCATTGTCGCGTCACTTGACTTCGCCTCACATTATGAGCTTAGTGATGTTCCGTTTTAACTCCCACGCTGTGGCATTCTGATACTGACCTGAAAATGATGCGAGACTATGTGAGTAAAGTTCATATACATTAATCCCCTTCGTTCATGCGGACTGTCGTGCATTTTGCTCTATGTACAATCGAAACACTTGCAATCTCAGCGCAATGTGTGTGCCAGGACCAGGCCAAACCCCCACATTTCACTGTAACCTCCCAATCTGACTGGTCATATGTAAGCCTCTTATAAGCCAGAACAGATTGAGACGAGGTTACTCCACGGGGGCTTTGAAGAAAAATTTGCTGTCTAGCTTGGATTGTTGCTGTTGCTCAATACGCCTGTGCCGAAAGCACAAGTCGTTGATTTATGGCACGCTTTTTGTTTTCAATTATTTGTACATAGTGCCGTATTCCAGTTCCGGCTTTGTTGGTCATTAAATTCGGTGGGAGCGCCTTCACTCAAAATTTCCAAACGGTTTGAAACACACTGGCACAGTTTTAACCAGGTGGGCGTTCACAGTTACTTAGTTTGTGAAGCAAGTAATCTTCTCAAGACTGATCAGTTGAAGCCACTTAGACTGAACAAAAAGTTCTCCAAGTGGGGTTCTATAAATAAATCTTTCAACTTGTCAGGGATCATTTAATAACCAAGCCCAATTAAAAATGCTCGTAATTGCAGCGCACCAAGATTTGCATTAGGTAAATTCATCAGACAGTTACTGAGAAGACGAGCAACTGGTTCCTCGTCCTGGCTGTTTGCCAGTAAATTTCCCGGTCGAGTACATCTATCTCCCTTTGTACAATCAAGACAGGATTTGCAAAAGTTAGTAAAAACAATCCAGCAAAACAAAGACACGTACATTACCACGGGTGGGGTCGTTCCGACTGTTAGCTCTATGGAATTGTAAATAGTACGAAGGAGACAATGCAAAGAGAAAGCATAAGTGTTAAACTACTCTTGCCTAGCAAGATTCATGGATTAACTGAATATGTACAGCTATAGATCTCGAAAATCAGAAGGAGCTAATGTTCCAGCGCAAGCGCCAAGCATTAGGTGATAAAATTTTTGTGTGTCAATACTCATAACCAGTACACTGCGTAGGAGTTCGAAAGGTTTGATGGATGCTACGCCTTTATTCATCCAATCGCGTCCATAGTAGAGTCATATTCCTCCTTAAGAAAACTTATGTTCCTCCGTAAGCAACATCAAAATGCTTCTTCCCTCAAACAAAATGTATCCAATTGCTGCGGACGCGCTGAATTGCTTGCTGTTTAAGTGGTACCTCTGAACCTGGCGACGGTTGGGCACGCCATCCTCCCGTCCATAAGACATTAGCATTGCGTGCAGTGTATCACCTGGTTGACCACTGGAGTCTTCACTGAAATGGTAGGAACACGTCCGTGACGTACGGTACTACTGAAGTGAGACAAAGTTGTGAAGAAGACGGGATACCTGTGCAAGAGAACGGATACTCGCACAAAGCCCTGAACGCTGTTCCTTGTATTTGCTAGCGCAGTTGAGAACACTAGGGCTCACTGCGCGAACGGTGCATAAAAACACGATGTAATGGCTCACGGCGGCTAGGCAACAAGTCACGTGTGAACTGGTGCACACTAGTTGCATAGTTGACGAAGTTAATGCAGCGCACCGCTTGCACACCATTGTGCTGATTGACACGAGCTCGCGCACTAAGATGAGGATTCAGCGAACGATGTTGCGGGCCTAGTGTACGGATTGTTATGGCTTTAAATGGACATGAGCGCTAATCGCCCATCTGTGAACACATGGTTTCGTGGTTGTTTCTCATCCGCATTTTGGCACACAAACCTGTGTGTTGCACCCACTCTACCCAGCATCGTCAGCACTATCTAGCGCACTCCATCTTTCAGATCTAGCTGGTGTCCATCGCTTTTTATCTCCATATTGCGATATTTTCAACATTCCCGCAGAAACGCAATCGAGAAAGGTTCCGGTTCACAAACCACACAGCAATATTTGTGGTCTCAAACGTAAGCCAATGCTGCATTATATACGACGAGTCGGCAACCACACATGTCGACCGTTCATCAAGTAGCTGATGTAGACTTTGTGCCCATCTCGCTCAGATGCTCTGTTTGCTGCGTGAACGACCTAGTCGATTAACACTGCCCTGGAAAGACACACAGAACGCACCACCTAGAACCTGTAGACAATTCAGCGCACAAGGAGCAATAAGCGCTTGGGTCTTGATCAGAATAACATCGATCGACGCAAATGATGGTGGCGACCAAACAAAAACACATGTTATAACACCTAGATCGAAAGTAGTTTGTGGCATTCTTTTATGCCATAACCATATACGAACTCGAATCCAGTCTAAAAACGACCTTGGAAAGCTTCATCGTAAATGTTCAAAGCTCACAGTGAAACAGTTAAAGCTACACATTGGTAAACCAGACTCACTCTGGTTCTGTTCAGTATGTGCAGTCATTCCACTGGTAGACTGTCCATGAACAATCACAGTAGTAAGAAATACGCTTGGCAATTAC